TCGCTAAATACATTGTCTATGTACATTTCTCAACGCGGACAAATATTGTCGAGAATATTTTACTAGCTAACTACATCGAAACCAGCCTGTCAGTTACGCATCCTCTCCCAACACAACGCAGTTACGCATCCTCTCACAACACAACGCAGTTACGCATCCTCTCACAACACAACGCAGTTACGCATCCTCTCACAACACAACGCAGTTACGCATCCTCTCCCAACACAACGCAGTTACGCATCCTCTCACAACACAACAGCCAAAAACACGGCAACGTTAATTATTAGCAGCGCTTAAATGTGGAAAAACAAGACGTATCCCACGGGAGCTTCCCCACGCAAGCTTCACAATGGGAGCGACATCGTCTGCTTCTAGCTGAGACGCAGACGAACGTGAGGCGGGTGCCAAGATGAAGCCATTCAAGTTAAATTTAATCACTCGCGCATATATTAGATCAACTCTGTTGCCATTATTCGTCGATAATCAACCAGAATTCGTGTTGCAGCGCCGCGCAGGAAGGAGACGACGACGAGAAGGAATCGAGATTTCAATCAGAAAGATAGACGCACACCCCGACATTAGAGAGCCTGTCGATCTTGCTGGCAAAAAAGACGCGCGAGCCCGTCTAACGTCGCGGCCACTCATTATAATGAGCGCACCGCGAGTCAAATTAGTCAAATTAGTAAAATTTGATTATTATAAATTTTGCGCGTGTAAACGAAGACTACGCGTGAGTGAGCGAGCGCGCGGGCTGAGCGGGGGTTTCACGCTCGGAGCAAGACAACGCACGAACCGCTTCTCCTTCGAACAGAGTGCACGCAGGGCCGTTATTGTGTGCAAAGCGGCGGAAACATATCACACGCTCCCGAGTCTCGGGCCTCTGACGTTGCTAACACTGCCGACGTAATCGCTTCCCAGCGGATGGCGAATGTAAACAGGTAACTGTTGATCACGACAACAATATCTACAGGTGGTGAACCCGCATGGTGGCTAGTCGACAGCGGAGCGAGGGGAGAACGCGGGGGAAGGAGGAGAGAGATAGACAGATAGATAGATAGATGGATGGATGGATGGATGGATGGATGGATGGATGGATGGATGGATGGATGGATGGATGGATGGATGGATGGACGGACGGATGGACGGATGGACGGACGGACGGGCGGACGCACGGACGGACAGACAGACAAAGAGACAGACAGACAAACAGACAGACAGACAAACAGACAGACAGACAGACACAGATAGATGGATAGATAAATACATAGCATAGACTAGCGCGTACACTAGCGTGTATTAGCATAGGCTAGCGTGCACTAGCGTGGACTAGTGTGCGCCAGCGTGTGAATTACTAGTCTATTAGTATGTGCTAGCATAGACTAGTGTGCACTAGCGTAGCCTAGCGTGCACTAGCATGGACTAGCGTGCACTAGCGTGTGTATTACTAGTCTATTAGTATGTGCTAGCATAGACTAGTGTGCACTAGCGTAGACTAGCATGGACTAGCGTGCACTAGCGTGTGTATTACTAGTCTATTAGTATGTGCTAGCATAGACTAGCGTGCACTAGCATGGACTAGCATGGACTAGTGTGCACTAGCGTGTGTATTACTAGTCTATTAGTATGTGCTATCATGGACTAGTGTGCACTAGCATAGAGTGACTTAGCGTTGCACTAGCATGACAGCGTGCACATAGCGTGCGCATAGCATGACTTAGAAATGGACATAGGCGTGCACTTAGCGTGCCTAGCAGGACTACGCATGACTAGTCGTGCACGTAGCATGACTCGCGTGCAACGTAGCATGGACTTACGCCAGTGCACTTAGCATGGACTAGCGTGCACTAGCGTTCGCGGTAGCGTTGGCCACTACGCAATTGGACTAAGACGTGCACTAGCGTCGCGCCTAGCATGGACTAGCGTGCCACCTAGCAGGACTAGCGTGCATCTAGGCGTGCCGCGTAGCATGGAGCTTAAGCGTGCACTAGCGGCCGCTATGCATGACTAGCGTGCACATAGCGTGGTCTATGCGTTGCAACTAGATTGGACTAGCGTGCACTTGCACGTGCCATTTTTTAGCGTTGCGCTAGGCATGGACTACGCGTGCGACTAGCGTCACTAGCGTCACTAGCTTGTATTAAGCGTTCGGCTAGCGTGTCTTTATGGAGCAGAAGCAGGTCTCGGACGAACGAAACCCTGTCCTGTAGTTAGTCCGCTCGCAATTCCATAACATGAGATGCGATTAGCAACTCGCCGCAGGGTCTTGCAAAATAGCGACCCCGACATCGCAACTAATTAGTCAAAAATTTCATCCGTAACGCCTTCGCGCTCTCATCAGCATCTCTACCATCAACTTCTTTTCCTCCTCCTCCCTCCTCCCTCTCGCTGTCCTCCCTATTCGCCTCCCCCTTCCTCCCCCTTTCCTTCCTTCTCTTCTGCTTTTCTTTTCCTTGTCTCATCCTCATACTTTCTTGTATTACACCTACTTAACTTTTATACCTAACGCCTGCCCTCCTCACCTTCATCCATTCAACTTCTGTTCCTCCCTCTCTGTCATTCTCATTCTCACATCCTTATTCTCTCAGTCCTTTGGGGGCCCCCAGGACGCTACATCAGCTAGATAGTGGGAGTAATTGACAGTGCATATTGCGTCATTTGCCGGTTCTCCGACTAAAAGATGAGTAAAAAATTTGCGAGACACGTATACTGCTGATGCCTTACACGAAACTATCGCGTACGAGTGACCACATCACTAATTATAACTAACTGAAGCCACATTGTTTATTAAAATACACGCCCGCGTTACTGTTAGACCACGGTTGATAATTCATTATGAAATTCGTGCGTTGGTTTCGCTAACGTTAGCAGATTGTTGTGTCATGTCAATTAGGGAAATCAATGGTT